ACTGTTAATAATGCTGACGCACAATTTTAATATCAAAAAGTGTTGAACTCTAGCCTGTTCTCACTAAGCCTCTATCTGGTTTTAAGTGCACAATTTAATAAAAACCATATAGGCATAATTACTAGCATAATATGAATGAAGTTATGTCTAATGCCGGCTCAGAGTTGTATAACTACTTCTAGTTATCCATTGATGTTTGGTAGTTAGTATTATGATATTTATTAAAATATTCAAAAGTACAGCAAAATGGTTAATACCTTATATATGTTATATCTGTATTTATAAATTATGACTATATTTTCATCAATAAGTAAAAATATTTATACTTGTTGTATAAATACTTGTTATGTATAATTTGGATTATACTATATAATATATACAGATAAAGCAACTTTTAAGTTATTAACTAGCTTTTTTTATTCATTATGAAACCTAAACAGTACAATTCATATAGGTATGAGGCATGAGCTGTATACTTTCACTGAAACACTACTAGAAATATATAAAATTCAATTTACATCAAACAAAATATACGATTATTATTTTTACTAGGTAACTATCGAGAAATTTTATGTCAGCAATAAAATGCCCTAAAGGTTATACAGCACGGTAAACGTAAAGGGCCAAACAACATAAAAATGCGTTGTGACCGTAACGAAACGATGGAATAGTTGCAAAAGAAAATTTATTAAACGTTTTACATAGCATAAAATAACCGTCTAATATTATGTAAGCCCATTGAAAAAGCATAGATTCTAAGTCTTGGAGGATGTTTTGCTTTTAAGCAATCGGCTTTTTTTTATTTAACAGCCATTCTTTTATATTTTTTTTTTATTTGAAAAACCAATATTCTTTTGATTTACCAACTAATAATAAATAGTATAAATAAGTTGAAAATCTAGTTAAATCGGGTAACTAAATTATCTGGGTAATTTTTATTGGCTCAATCGTTTATAAACTATAGTATACCAGCTATAAACTAAAAATAGCTAACATTTTGTCATGTTCAATAATTCTTATGTATGACATAAATGTATGGATACATTTAAGGGCCAACTTTAATAGTATAAACATATTTATTTAGTTTCAAAAAGATACCACAATTAAAATTCGCAGTAAACACGCCTATAAAAACCATATCGAGTTCCTGCGAGTTTAGTGCAATTTGAAGATAAGACATTTTTAACGATAATAGAAAATAGGAAAACAATACCGATTATAATTTCATTATGGACAAGCAAACTTCTCAGATGTCTTGGTCAATAACTGTGTTTATTATACTCTAATTAGAAAGCCCGTCAAAAGTAATTAACGTCTTACATATTTAAAGCCAACATAAAGTAAAGATTAGGTATCATAATAGTGCCGAACATTTCCAACATAGTTCTAAGTAAAATTGAGTGTAAAACAAATAGATATTGTGCGGCAGCAGATCATCTAAAAAATCCTTCTTAGTTCATCTAAAAAATGTGACTATTTATTTCAACAATGTTTTATTTGAGTCGAGAGAAAAAATTATAAAACAAAACACTTAGTTACATTTTAATACAAGTAAAACAAACAAAAATCCCCATATGGGTTGACGCATAAAATCGTACGGAGTATTATTATGTGCAAACCCTTTTTTAAGATTTGCTGGGGAGAACTTAATTTATACGTTCCGTTGTTACCATCAATCATGCCTGTGACGACTATACCTACGTTATCAACGTTTTCTGCTCGACTTTCTTGACGGTTTCCTAAATTTAATCATAAAAAACATTACTCTACATTATAGTTACGGACAAATTGTTCTGAAACAAACAAGCTATTGACTATGAAATATTACTCGGGCAATACAGCGCGCGGTAAAAGTACGGCCCATTATTGCGTTATCCGTCTTTGTCATTAATGTGTCGACCGGCCAACACATCGGCCCATTGTGTTATAATGAAAATTTAAAAATTCATAATTGTCATTTAATCATCAATATTTTGTCAGCCAACACAAGTTCAGCCGCTGTGTGTGTATATAGCCCAACCACAATAATGCCGCATTTTCTTCGAGTAAAAATAATAATAATAATAAAACAATATAAAACGAATAAGCAAAATCGGGCGTCGTATTATTTTTGACACGTACAATCGATTTTTATCCATACAAAAAAAAAAAAATCCCCCGAAGAATTGAAAACGTATATTAAAGGGGGAGAACCTCTACACTTGCCGCTCGTGTACAAAAGAGTACAATATATGTAAATTTCAACGGGTGCGTATACTACAAATTTTTTGGAAATATTAAAACCAAACCGCTCAAACGATTTTGGCGCTTAAAGACATATTAAACATTTTCCTGGATAAAAGAAAACGTCAATAAATGTATGTTTAATATATGTACATTATACACACTCGCGTTTGTGTAAGTGCGCGTTTTTTTCTATATTTTGCACGCGTGGTAAATATATATCCCCGTTAAGTTTTCCGTCTACAGGGAAAGGTATTGCGATTACCGAATCTAGTCACGGGCGCCGATAAGAAATTGGTTGTGGGATAAAATACGTTGAGGGAATTTAATAAATTTAAGCGAGTTTGATTTTTATTGCGTCGCCACTTCCGTCGAAATTCCTCCAGTGCCTGTTGATTAAACCGTCCATATGAATTGACAGCGTTTTGGCTAATCCCCATCGAGCACAATTTAATTCCGGAAATAACTTTATTGCTCTTATTTCGCGCCTTAAACATGGCCGTTCAGATCCAACCACTTCAGTTGCTCTACGTCCGTCTTTACTTATTGCTATCACTTCGACTTTCAAAAACCCTAATCCTTATGAACTTTTTTTAAAAAGGAAGTGTAGGAACTATTACAACTTGATATTGGAAAAGTTCCTTTACAAAGGAACTCGTTTTGTTTCCCGTTTAATTAAAAAAAAAAACTCGTTCCACTTTTTGTGTCTTTTTTCATTGAACCAAGTTATTTAGAAAACATTTATTTTTTTTAAATAGTAGCTTTTTATAATTAGATATGTAAAGAATTGAAAATAAATAATTATGAATTATAGGCATATTTGCATAATTGAACGAGCAAAAGAAAGTAGCAATTTTTATTTTTGTAACACTTGGTACTAATATGTGCATAATAATATTGTCACTAACACTATAACTAAAACTAATGCGGGTTCGATTAAGTACACTTTATGTTAAAACTAAGAGTATCAACAAAGTTGTAGCTATGAAAATCACATTGTTATGCCCCGATACCCTAAACTTCGAATTATAATGACGGTAATATTATTCCGCGGTAGGTGTAATAATATTATGATCTTTTCTTTCAACCATATATTCGTGACATATTATTTAGTATACTTTTGAACATTATAATTTATAACAATAATACAAACGCAATAGTACAGTTTTCAGGCTTATACTTGAAACAATACTTACCCTATGAATAAAATATCATGATACTGTTGTTCACTCGCTCGTTGGTAAAGTAGTCATGTTAACGTAAGTACACAGGTCACAGCTATATGAAAACAGATAGCTCATTCAGCATGTAAACAAAAACCAAGACGACACGTGACACTTATGAAATCAGTGTGACCGCAGAGTCAAACATAACAAGCCATAATAGATATTATCTAATCTGTGATAATATAGTCGGTTATCATGTTAAAGTATCTTAGTTACAAAAAAAATGTTGGTTGGTCCTGAGTCATAGTTATTCTAACTCTAAAACTGAAATTTTGGAATTGTTACATTACTTTTTAAATTATATATACATTAACACATCGCTTAATTTTATCCAAAATCTAATCGGACAAGTGTTTATCAATAAAAAAAGTTGATAAATATTTTCCTGTTAAACTAATTAATTGTTTAATATTACATATTTTTTTATTCTCGGCAAAAGTAGTCATTTTATAGTAAAAACAAATTCAAATAAAGCAAACCCAATATTAACTATTTAAATTTATACAATTTTTTTAATTTGATACCGACTTGAGAACAGTGTAACTGGTATCACCATGTTTAATTGATGTCGATTCTTCATTTTGAATGATAATTGTTATTGAAAACAATTTGTCATGTTGGACGGTTATTATAGGTAAATGTGATGGAGACAATTTACACAGTTGGGTAAAAATATACATTCATCATTATTGTAATCGGCCAACACGCCGGCTCGTTCATTTTTAATCTACATGGATTTATTCGAGTACATATTCATTAATTTACTAATGTGATAAATTGTCAAAACGCAACAATGCGTGTGTCAACGATTCCGGACTGTGGTTTATATTTATACAAATGGAGGGTACAGGAAAAAACTAGGATCACTATTTTTATAAATCTAAATAAAAAATATATTTTTACATAATTTTTAAAAAAAAATTGTAAAAGAACTTGTTCAAAAATGTAGTACGTCAAAACGATTTTTTGACACCGAAATCACCATTTTGAAAAAAATGACTATTAGTCAAACATAAAATAAAAAAACTAGGTAGGTTATCGTTCTATGTCGTTGGGATGACAATCGTTAGCGTAGGTATGCGGATATACCGACCGAAACTTAATACCGGACGCCTCTCGCCTAAATGGGACCGAAATAATTGATATTTATAAATTGTTTAGAGCCAAAAGCCCTACAGTACGCCTTTAACGTCCCGGCAACACACTTCTCCTGCAATCTCTCTACCCCCCCCCCTCCCTATCTCTCATGCACCGTTTCCATAGCACAATGCTCGGACTGCTCTTCCAGCATGTGTGTCCCAGGCGCGTTCAATATACATTGCCCGTAAAGTTATTAATACTAATTTGCTCTAATCCTTGACACATTGTAAGCCCCTCGTCCGGTTATCCCCGGGGAAAACCATACCGAAGCTTCTCCCAGCGCTGTTATTTCCTTTGTATCGCCATATTCCCTTCCCGCCATTATGCTGGGAATAAATCTCAAAGGATTCCAAAGTTTTATGTCGCAGCTACAGCACAGAACGGATGACAATTAATATCCTCTTGTTTCAGGATACTTTTGGCACATCACCGACTTACAGTATGACGCAAATTATGTAACGGCGACCGGCGATTACGCAAAAAGTAAGTATACGTAAATCATTATTTCAATAGGACCGGAAGCGGTAGAGTGCAGCGAGGGGAAACGATACGCCTTGTAAGAACTAATATTATTATTATCCACTGACATCATGAAATATCGACCCAGTACTTATAATAATAATAATAATATGATATGATATGATTAAACTTCCGGAAATCTCTAGAGATTTCGAACGAGGTTTGAATTTATTTATATATACTACAATATTATATTATTATATTGCTTTCATTATAATATGGATTTTTAAACAAATTTTCTTTTTCGAAATAATTCTTATTAATGTCATGAAGACCACTAATCTTCCTAGAAGGCTAAAAAGGAAGTAGTGCAGAGATCTTGTCCCTTCATAACAAATAATAATTCAAACAATAAGGGTAGGCGGTTTCTCTTTTCGAGACAACCACTCCACGCTTGCGATACAACCTACGTTACGTTGTATAAATTGTATAGTTTAAATACAAAAACCAAAAGAAAAAAACAACATGGAAAAAAATTACGTCTAGTTGACGCATTGCGAATTACATTTAAAAAATATATATTTTATCAAGTCGTAATATTAAAAAATATTTGACAAACCGTACAGACGACAATATAAATCCAAGGTTTAAATTAATAAATTGGCTTCTTATATTAATACAAATATTTTAGTATTAAACAAAGCTAATGATTTGAGTTCAAAATTAAATCTTGAATTAAATTAGGATCATTTTATTTTTTCAAAACGGTTAGGTTTCTTATAATGACGTTATACCCCCTATTTATTAAGGAGTTAGGTATAGGCATTTTTTGTAAAATCGTAATTTAAAGGCTAAACTGTGATGTTTAATGACTAGCTAAGTAATCTTGACTCTTTTTTGGTAGTTTATTTATTTTTCGAAATGTCACAGCGTCCTTGACAACGATTTAAAAAAAATATTAATTTAAACTGGCTACGCATATTCTTTCTTATCAACTAAATAACAAACGTAGACATTTTTTTTTACATATTTAAAATAATAAGAACTTTATCTAGGTTCTCTTATCGGCTTTTTTTTTATACTATTAACTCAACATTCACAATTTATATTTTAATTCTGACATTTTTAAAACTTTTTTAAGTGCTTGTATTTAGGGTAAAATTAAAGTTTTCCATAAAACCGACGAGAGGAACTAGTTAAAGTTCTCCTCTTTTTAACGGTACCAACATTTTTATTCTATGACCAGTTCGCTTTGACCTACACTCTTTACCGTAAACCCCTTTTTTACGATTATTTTTAAAGGGTAAACGTCCTCTTAAGGTTGATTCACCTCTTATAATTTGTAGAACGTTATGCTTATTATTATTATTATTTTTTTTTTTTTAACAAAATGAAATCTAAAAATATTTTCCACATTATTGTGTTTTGTTGTTAAGAGTCGATAAAATCTACTTTTTTTCATAAACAAAGTAAAATAAAGTTAACGCTCTAACAAAAATACCACACCAGGTTTCAATTCTGTGAAAAGCCATTAAATTTAAAATCCTATAATATGTATTTTAGTTACTACTTTAAAAACAAAGCCAATATTCATTTTATGGTGTTACAAGCATTTGCGAATCTTTTCAAATAAATGCAGTATTAATGACACTATTTGTAGGTACTTAAGTTTAGAGTTGTAGACATTTTATTATCTGTTCTTTTCACCTTTCAGTTTAAAAATAATATTTTATTTTTCGATATAAGACAAAAATTCCACTAATGTGTTTTAACAAAACAAAAAAATGTACGTAAATATATGTTTTAGAACTAATAAAAAATAGTGTTTTTTTAAGTACAAATTTAAGGAAAAATAAAGAATGTCACGTTTTATCTAATTTATAACATTAGTAACTCGTTATGGCATTGGTGCCATTACGTAAAATTTTAATTTGCATAATATTATATAATAAATGTTTGAACAGTACAATTATTAACGAATAATAATTTTGTTGTAATTTAATGCAAAATCATAGGCAAAATATACATAGTAGAAAGTCTTCCTCTTCAAAAAAAAAAAGTTATCAAGTCTGAGAACTCTGTAAAGTCATTTTCTTGTTCCTTTGAAGACATTTTTTTACCACCTTAATACCTGTAAATTGTATACAAGTAAAATAACATCCTAAAGCTTATACAAATTAATCTAAAAATAAATGTATGTATATGTAAAATATTCAATACATCAGAATTTTGTTACTATCAGATTCTCAACTAAACCTGTCCTCAAATATTATCTAATATAATCTAACTACCAGTATAATTATACAGTTTGTTAGGTTCTAATTTAACAACTTTTCTATCACAAATTGTGCTCATTTCATAATTAACAACATACATTAAGGATCGGCAAGAAGATTCCAACAAAATATATCAATCGCATCTGTTCTATTCAAGTAAAACGTTTTAACGCACTTTATTCGTTTATTATTTTATTTTCGAAAACCACATGTTCAATATTCGTTTCAAACTTTTGTTTACATTCTCATTTTTTCTATTATTATTATATATATATATATATATATATTTATATGTGTGCAAATATGTGATTGCGTTCGAGTTGCTCTTGTTGAGATCTCCGATAAGTTATCGAACTTTAACCGATAAATTCTCAAATTTACATATAAGACTTTTGTTGTTGGAATGGGTAAGGGACACTCGTACCATTTTTTTTTTTTTTTTTTTGCTTAAACCTTTGCCAGCTAAAGACGAATTACAACAACAACTAACAAAAGCTCTGGGGCTATAGTAAAGGTTTCCTCGATATTGTAAGGGAGGAAAACACACATACACACACAAATACAATACTGGCATTTGCGGTGCGTTTATTTGGATTACACTCGTCGTCGGCACGGCCAATAAATAACGACAAGAGCGCAAAACTTGTCGTTAACTTTAAACCGTCACGTGAGAAACGGACACACGTTGTATTGTCGGTACGGAGAAATCGTATATTTAAGTAACAAAAATAAAAATATTTAACGCCACCGCCTTTCATTAAAAAAAAAAAATACACTTATAAAAAAAAACTTTTTAATGTGTTTTTTTTTCATATACAAGCTTAAAACGATTCATTTTCGAACCAGTCAAATGCCTGTGAATAAACAACGACCGTCCCATAACAATAATAATAAAAATACAAATAATAATAGCACTAATATCATTACGACAACCGCAAATTATTAAGGCATAGAAATTATTTGCGGCCGAAATAGCCGGCCTACACGCACCTAAAATTCATTTATTATGCATAGTATACCGTCAAGTTTCGATCATACATTGTAAATATGTCAAACGCGTTGAAACGTTAAAAATTATAATATTGTTTAATGAAATTGAATTAAATTTTGTTACTTAAACAAACATACCGGGAAATCAACAAAAAAATTAATTTCGCAATACAAACAATATCACCCATATTACAATATATTTTGTTGTATGTGCAATAATATGTGTATAATAATTAATACACGTCTAGAGAATAATCTAATGTTAGAACTCAATAATATTATTTTCTACGAAATGTTCAGCCGTATATTTGCAAGTTAGGTAAAAAAAAAAAAATTGAATTTTCCATTACTTATAATAATATATAAATTGTCAACGAGCAGATGTTTTTTCTGTTTAAATTATAAAGCTAAGACGTATCTTAACTTAAAACAATTCAAATGAATCGTGGTGTGGCCTAAATAAATATCTGTTACAGACAGATAGGGCAATTAAATATTGTTTGAATATTCAAAAACATTGCCGAGTAAAAAGTCACGGAGAGTCACGCTTAAGTCCTGTGAAAGATATAGTTGTTTTTTATTTTAACAAAGACAATAATAAATCCTAATGAAAATATATTCTGTACGTGGATTTGCCAGTGACTCGAAAACGGGCCACTGGCCAAGTGAATAATTTTAACTCGCCATATCGTTCGTTAGAGTTCGTTTTACAATGGATTGGTCGATTCCAAACAAGAACCATTTCTCTTCGGTTTAACAATAAATTATTGTATTCTGCGTTCAGCTACGGCTACGAGTTAGTTTCATTCGATAATAATCAGTTTCTGTTTTTAATTAGCTCTATATCGATTGCCATAAAGCCTTCGAAACCCATATAACAGTTGCCGTTTTTGTAATTTCTTTTTTTTCTTACGATCAAAATAGCGAATTTGATTATTTTTATAACAGAAAACAAGATACCATTGTAAGTTATAACTAATCGACTGTCATATTGAATAGGTTGCAAACAAACGGTGATCAATCCGGAACTCATTGAAACCGTCGAGCAGCGAAAGCAAACAGGCGGCAACGGCAGATTAGGTGACTATGGATGCGACTCGCCATGGTCACTAGTCCAATCGGCTGTCAGGGCCATGAAAGACAAACATGGCGAAAACATCGAATTTATCCTGTGGTCCGGGTAAGTGTTATATAGTTTTAGAACTCATATCCAAACAGACGAGACGAGTAAAAGCGATCAACTAAACTTCAACAGCTGCTCAAATTAAATACAAGTTTTAGGAAAACCCTAAAAATATGTTGTTTTTATAGGGCGATAAAATAAATGCACGCTTCAATATCTTCAATTGATTTGCTATTGTAGTACATTTATTTTTATTTTACACTTATGATCGCTTAGTCCGGGCATAATAATATATCACGTTTTATGATGCTATAGCCAATATCTTTAGTGTTATGATTTGTTGTCATTGTGTGACAATCTAAAATGTTAAACAGTCATAGTTCACTTCTGGGGTGATATTATATACTTTTTTGTTTGTCCCATTAAAAGCTAATATTTGATAGAAAAAATATGTAGGTATATATAGGTATGTAGGTGTATAACAAATCAATAAAAACAAAAATCATTATTTAGTTTAATAACATGTGCGTATACTTCTCCTATGTATAATCAATTAAAAGTATTATTTCAATTAAATATATCAACATTTTTAATTGTAAAATATACAAGGTTAAGTTTATTATGATTAAATATATATACTAGTATATTAATCTAATCGGATACGAAATGTACACTACATTATACAGGTGACAAGAACTCATAATATCCAAAAGAGGTCTCCGAAGATTGAATTTATATTAGTATAAACCGAATAAACCAGAATTACGGCAGATTTTAATGAGAATTCACGGAACGAGATGATGCAATTTTAGTTGACCGAAACCATTCCGTAAATTAAATGTGTTCATGTTATTAAATAAGTGATGCAAATCGTATTATTACAAATAACAATTAAGGTAAACTTCGCTTATCAACTATATCTCATTAATTTCCTCTTAATATATCTACTTTTCGTTAATGTAAATTACATCCGAGAGATGGTAGAAAACTGAGACTAGTATACATATTTGGCAACGAGTGAAACTAGCAAGTTATGATGTAAAGTTTTAGACATTAAATTCGACTGACAAATACGAACATAAATAGCTATATGAAAGTTTAAACTTAATATTGCGGTGGTTCTGTTGTACATGATTTGCGTTTGATTTAGTTCAAATTGGATAAATATTTGTGTATTTCCAATTAGTCAATTTTACATGATCAAGTTAATAAGTATTTATAGTTTTAAAAATAGCTCTAAAAAGGATTCCTTTTTTACAACTATTTCTTTTCAATATTCTTAAAAGAGCATATTTTTATTTAATGCATTTAATTTGTTTGCTACAAACTATCGCCAACATTATTTATGACTGTTAAGTAATTATAAACTTTGGTGTTTGCTTATATTTTTGTTATTCACCAATAGCGAGGTTAATTAAAAAAATTATCTGAAAAAAATAATTTTACTATTATGTACCGATTATTTATATTTATAATACTCATTAATGCTACGAAAACAATTATATGACGCAGAATTGCAATGGTTGTATGCCTACTTTTCTTGTTTATATAAAAAATGAACAGTAATCCGAAAATTCGACGTATACATAAACTATAGTTCTGCGTTTGAGCTTACAAAAGCCTCATGTGGCTCAATAGGTCAACAAAGCGCGGAAGGAGCACAATGCAAAGATTTATGTTTACCCATGCTTATTGTACTCTAGGTTAAACACTATTCGCAGCTTGATGGACATAAACAACAGAACATACGGAGGTAGTTAAAAAAAAAAATCACTGCAACGCCATATTATAATTTATACCCGAGTTTTGAAAATTATTTAAAACTTTTACGAGCTGCATACATCATAAAAGAGCTGCCTTAAAAATACGTATTACCTGAAATTGGACTACTAAAATATATTTTAAACATATTTAATAAAAACCGGGCGTTTCTTCAAAATCTTGTACATCGTTTAATTTTTTATGTATTCAGTACTAACACACAAAATTTCAAGATTTAACGATAATGAGACTTTTAAAACTTGATTAACAATTTTAATACCTGGTACGTACAGTATACAATCAAATATGATATACATAATATAATATTACCTAATTTTCTACATTAAACCTGCTGTATATTTAAATAACTAATCATTATATTTAGTCTGAAGCTGTCAGTAATATAACTATTGTGCAGTATTCCCATCAGGTAAAAGCCGGCTGAGGTAGTATTAAACAACTATATAAACAACTATTAGATGTACACATTTTTCTATAGAAAGTAATTTTCATTGGTATCGAATAAATAGGTTTTCATTGGAATAATGTAACATTTTCCATGATCATGAACGTATTCTACGAATTGATAAAGGACGAATTGATAAAGGGCGAGTTTGATCAAACGTTTTAAATGTATACACCGAGTAACCAAACGAATCTACATCTGCTTTGCCGCTCAATGGTTCTGTGGTTTTAGTTGATGGTAGTTTTCCAAATGAAACAAAAACACTAATAAAAGTTCACTTTTATTAATACTAGCTCAATATAAAATTCGTTCCAACTCGGCTAACCACATAGTTGAATTAATAACAATAAACATTTTATAGTTCCTCTTACTCTTACAAAAAAGGGAAATAGCAAAAAAAAATCGTAGTTCCGACATGAGTCTGAACGCTATATACAATGCCATTAAACACTTGTAATAGTTGTTTTCGTGCCATGAAACCGCCTGTGTATTTATTGATTGCCTATAGAGACCCATACACGGTACACTCTAACTCCAATATAATATCTATATGTTTTCCATACACCTGCTGAATGCGTCCGAAAAAATGCGGAATTCAACGCGCAAGAAAAGATACTGCCCAAGCCTATATAGCGGGTCCAGTGAAAATAAAATAAAAAAATATATAACACTGGCGATAAACAACGATGAGTGTGGGAGTTTTGGAAAAATTGTTTAGGTGTTATGTTCTGATAATTCACCAGCGTAGTGCAACCTGTGCTTTGGGTATTTTTTTCAATAAATAAGTGCGAGAAAACTTTACGAAAAAATAAAATCTATTTTCAAAACAAAATAAACTTATTTACAACAAACATATTGTGTTACCTACAGAACTTATTGTATTTTCACTGAAAATAGTGACAAGTATCTAAACATAATTAGTTCTACCTTTCAACAAATTATTATCTTCTTGTGAATACACCTACTCTAAACATGATCATGAAATGTAAATTTTACTTTTTATGATTCTTTTGTATGGTACATCGAGCTGCGGACTAATTACTTTTTTCCGTCTGAAAAACTAAAAGTAATAAATTATTCAATGTATTCAAGTCCTAAATAGTTTGGCCATACAGTACTGGCAAATCTTTTTGAAAAGGCTACTTAATATCACTAGTGATACTGCCCAATGGGAATGAACTTTTAGAAAAACTGGAAAATCCCAAATCTTTGGCACATTTATCGTTTATTAGTGTACTTTTAGAAAAGACCACAAGTCCCAAATGGCCATTAGGTTACGGCCCTGCTTTGGATGTACCAAAAAAAAAAAAATGTTATATATTCATAAGTAAATCTGCAGTAAACATTGTACACTATAAAGTGCAAGCATAATTTAACTATAATATTCTAGTCTAACGATGAATATTATTATTCGAACGTAGGCATAGAGGTTATACTCGGTAGCATGGTATGAATACGAGGTTGATATTAAAGTTGTGTCATAACTGCGCGAGGGGATTTATTCAGTGTTTCAGAAACTCATTACAAAGAAAATAAAAAAAAATTGATATCATCTCATGCGTATGTGTGTTTTATATTTATATGTTAGTTTACGACTGCAGTTAACACAGAAATGTTTGTAGGGGAGCAAGTCGGTCGGAATACCTAGAAACGGTAACAGCCATTTTGTGCTTTAACAGTGGCGCTCTTAAATCCCTACGGCCATATCGATGAGTAAAAAAATAAGGCCGGCTGGATAGCGCAACGATACACTCTCTGCCGTTTAAACGACACAATATATAAAAGAAATTTCCTCCGTCTTGTTATCGTAGGAAATACATTTAATGTGTATATTCATAATAACGCGGTAAATAATTATCTCTACGCCCTGTGGCATCCGTCTTTCCGCTTTACGGCACGCTAAATACTGTTCTCTCATATTTTGCTTAAAACCTTTTTTACTCTTAATATCTTACTCAACGTTCCGACGCGACGTTGTGTAGGTATTTAGCTTTATTTCCATTTGGCACGGCAAACTTTATTCCTCGTGCCATATTATAGAAAACGAGACGGTGTGAGCGAGACAGTGAAAACCGTAGAGGGAGAGAGATAGAGATACGGGGTGACAAAGAGTACAGTCGTCCGATTCGGTCGGTCTTGAGATAAGAATCCCGTCACATCCGAGTGCCAATTTCGAAAAGTTTTCGTTCGTGCGCGTTACTTTTTTGCCTTTTTAATAACAATGCATTATACTACGACCACCACAGCCTCGAGCGATAACTTATCCTTTGAAATCTCGGTTATTCACATCAATATTTCAATGTGAATCTTATGTTTTATTTTTGTCTGCTATAAAATTAACAACAGTACGACGTAACAGCGTTGCGACGATAAATCGGACAGTTTTCATTTAACTATCGCAATTCTAAACGTCTGCCGCCAGATCCGTTGACGAAACGATATTTCTTGACGATAATAATTTTACGTATGTATCATTCAGACGCGCTGTAGATGATAAAATAATGACACTTGTCATCTTGTATCTTGTTAGTAGATCTCTTGATTTTTAGCGGGTAATGCTTGTACAATTAGACAACCGAATATTAGTAATGATATTCGCTGACGTTTATTGTGAAACTCAAATTACACGAATGACATGTTGTGCCGGTATAGCTATCGCTTATGGTGGGTAATCCCCACCATATATATACATATATATATATGCAATAAACAAATGAAAAAAAAGGAGGGGAAATAAATCTTTACAAATCAATAATTTTAATTTTGTTAAGTTATCAAAAAATAAATAAAAACTCTTTGGCATAGATAAAGTTCTTCTCTTTTGTATTGT